AACTATCATTCTATCACTTTACAAGATAATGGAAAAGTATGGAAATATTGAGCATGCCACCCAGTTCTGGTCACCAGTACTCAGGGATGATGTGCTGGAACTGGAGAGAGTCCAGAGAAGGTCAACAAAGATAATAAGGGGGGCTGGAGGACCTCAGTTATGAGGAACAACTACAAGTATTAAACTTAATCTTCCTGCCAGAACTTGCTGTTGTTAAGGTGCTAGCACCCACCACTTCCTTAGCAACTAGTGACTCATCTGCTTTCAGCAAGAGATTCCCTGCTGACAGCAAAATGTAGACATGCAGAAATAAACGGCATGTGGTTCCCCCAATCCTTACCAGGCCCTACCACATGTGGTATGGTCTTTGGGGGGACCCAGTGCCGAAAATGAAAAAAAAATGGCCTGAGGTCCCCCCAGATTCCATACCAAGCCCTTATCTGAGCATGCAGCCTGGCAGGCCAGGAAAGGGAGGAGAGGATCATATTCCCCCTTACCAGGCACATCCCCTAACACCTCAACATTGGAGGGGTACTTTGTCAGGGGGCTCCCTGGCAAAGCACCTTGTCCCCGTGTTGATAGAATGTGCCCTTAGAAATAGACACAGAAAGTTTAAACAAGTCCTTTTTTTGAAAAAAAAATGTAAATGTCCACCCATTTACATCCATCATCAACACGACTGCTCCATTGCTTGGCTCCCACTGACTGACATGGCACTTCCCCCACTACTTAAAGTGGTTGTAAAGACATTTTATGCATTAAGGTAAAAAACCTTCACTACGCAGCTCTCCCTCCAGCCCCGCCTCCCAATACTTTCCTGAGCCCGATCCAGCAATGTGCATGAGAGCAGCTGCTGTCCCGACTCTCTGCCTCCTCATTGGCTCAGAGACAGAAGTGGGAGCCAGGATCAACTATATCTTAAACATATCTCAATGATGTATCCTCACTATCAACAAAGATAATGTTTTGGTTTTAGGATAAGCTTGTATCTATCACAATAACCATTAAACTGAACACACCCACAACCCCCTTTTCTAACATCTATGTTAACTATCCTGTGTAAGAATAGGTGAGCCTTTTTCCCTGTTTGGGCCATTGCAGAGAAGTGTCCACAATGCTTGGTCAAGACGCCTATGGGTAAAATTAAGACTCTTTTCCACAAACATGAATTTGTAATGCTCTTTACTCTACATGTGGATGCATCTGTCTGATAATGGATACATCAGTAAAACAGATTGTAGTGGATTAGGAATAGACAAGTATTCTTACAAAAGTGTGTAATTTTACCTTTTAGGAAAGGGATACCGGAGTGAGATTTCATAGAACATAAGAGAATGACAATGGATATTCTCTAGCAAATCAAAACAGACATGCCCAAAGATATAACAATAAATTCGCCAATTATCACAGTAATAATTACATTAAAGTGTAACTAAAGGCAAACGTTTTTTTTCCCTTTTGGATACAGTAAGGGAGGGTTAGAACTCCCATCAGTTGTTTTTTGACATCTGTTTCCAACTGGGGAGATTTCCCCTCTGTTAGAGCTGATGTCAACCCAAAATGTGGCATTTTCTTTTCCTTTCATGTTCAATGATAAGGAGAAACAATAGAAACAGAGAGAGTTATTCTCCCTAACAGGGGCACAGACAGCAATAAAAACAGACAGGTGTTCTAAACCCTGTCTGCTGTATCCATTCAACAAGTCAAGTGATAAAATACCAACTGGTTTCATGAGCTAAATTCTGCAAATTTCAAAGGAATGCCTTCGTTTTGTAATGTTTTTTGATGAGTGGCAAGTGAAGTCCGGTGGGGACTAAATACCACCAGGTCATGACCTTATAGGCTGGTTCAAGGTGCAAGGCGCAGTGGCAGCACAAGTGTTTTACCAACATTTATCAGATTTGTGAGCTTTTAAATCCCCCTCTCATTTTGCCACATAGGTATTAGTGGTGGGTGTGGATAGGTCATTGAGGTGAGAACATGGTATAGAGATTAGTTTGAAGGCCAGGGGAGTATAAAGGCAGATGTGTTTGAAGGTGGTCAGTGAGAGATTCTTATCTCGTATGAGGGGGACAATCCAGTGCTTGACTTAGGTGTATCAGAAGAGTTCTGGAAGGAGAGCCTTAAATCACTCCCGGATGGTTGGCCATGGAAGGAAAAAAAAACCTACTCCAGGAGAGAAGACCATGTTGAGCCTATGTGCAATCCACCAATGAATAGCTGAAGGTAATTCAAGCCCCAGTGGGGAGTGGGTTACCTGTGAGAGGAAATTGAGGGACTTGGGCATAGAGTAACTTACTGGAATATTTTACATTTTGAAAACTTTGAAAAGTATGTTTCATTAAGGGGCACATGGTAGATCAGTGTAAATTGGGAGTTGTGCATAATAGAGATTTAAGATCTACAAGGATGGAGGAGGTTGCTTCTAGTTTATCCCATAAAGAGGCTTTGTTAGCTGTATATAGGACTATGAGTAGAGTGATTTGAGCAGCTTAGTAATATTTTCATAAAATTCGGGACACACATGCTACCTTGGTACTTTTGAATGTACATGTTTCACCTAGAGAATTAGGGTCAATGGGTGTGCAAAATAAAGAACATTTTGATTTTGGAAGGATGTAGTGGCAAAGGAGGGGACCGGAATTGGAAGGGTGCAGAACAGATATATAATTTTAGAGAAGATGTTAATTTTTAAGATAAAACAAGGTGTGCAAACTCCTATATTACTATACCCACAATTACAAAAGATGATATCTCATCACCTATTTATATACGTGAAAACATATTGTTTAACAAGAAACCAATGTGTAATTCCACAATGAAAATGAATAATCTACACAGTGTGACCAAAAAATCATAAATAATATTACATAAAAATTAATAAGCAGAAAAACGTCCAATCCCAGTGTCCAATTATGGTCCAAAAGGATTATCCACTTAAAATATGAATGCTGTGTGCTATGACTTTTGCATGCATTGCTCTGAGGTAACCAGAAGTGCCACCTCCTTACCGGATTACTAGGATCTCTAAGAAAAAGAGATCAAAAGCAGTTGAACACATATGTAAGATCTCTCCCAGGGTCCACTACAGCTTTCCATAGATTATTATTATTATTATTATACAGTATTTATATAGCGCCAAAGGGTTTGCTCAGCGCTGTACAGTAGCAAGAGAGACATAACATGTGACAAGACAGTAACAATACAATACAGGAGGGGTTCGAGGGCCCTGCTCTTTCGAGCTTACAATCTAGGAGGGAGGGGAAGGTGGCACAGGAGGAGATGGCTGTGGGGGATGGAGTGATGGGTGGAGTGGAGGAGGTTAGTTGTTAGGTGAGGTCGGGTCCTAGGTGAGGTTGGGGTAGGCTTCCCTGAAGAGGAGGGTTTTCAGGGTGCGCCTGAAGGTGAGGAGGGTAGGTGACATTCTGATGGATTGGGGTAGGGAGTTCCAGAGGAAAGGGGAAGTCCTGGAGAAGTCCTGCAATCGGGCGTGGGAGGAGGAGACCAGGGAGCTAGAGAGCAGGAGGTCCTGTGAGGAGCGGAGGGCACGGGTAGGGTAGTATCTGGGTATCAGGTCAGTTATGTAGTTCGGGGCGGCATTGTGAATGGCCTTGTAGGTCAGGGTTAGCAGCTTGAACTTGATGCGTTGGGCAATCGGGAGCCAATGAAGGGATTGGCAGAGGGGGGAGGCAGATGTGGAGCGCTTGGTGAGGTGGATGAGTCTGGCCGCTGAGTTTAGGATCGACTGGAGTGGGGATAGCGTTCGTTTGGGTAGGCCAGTGAGAAGGGAGTTGCAATAATCCAGGTGTGAGATGATGAGGGAGTATACGAGTTGTTTGGTGGTGTCTGGGGTGAGGAATGTGCGTATCTTGGAGATATTGCGGAGGTGGAGCCTCCGATGTTCAATTAATACAAAATTTGCAAGAATTCACTGCTTTTACTCAGGGATAGTAGTAAGAGAACAACAGGTAATATAGTAAAGTAGTAATATATTAGTTTTCTCACCTTTTTTATCTTAAATATTATTTCTAACTGCTTGTATCCTGAGGATTGAGTGCAACATTTTAATATTGCACCAAGCGCATACAAATATTAGGACTAAAATTTGAATTGTGAGTTTATCCTTCCCATCCAGAAAATGGGGTCAGTGATTTAGGAAGTTATTAGAGTTTTGAGATTTCATAGTCAAGGCATATTTAGCTAAATACAGGCCAGAGTACTGTGGAGTTAACTGAATACCTAGATCATTTAATTGGTCAGTGACCCAAGTAAATTTGAATGAGGATTTCAATGTGTGGTAAGTGTGGAGAAGGGTAAGGAAATGTTGAAGGCCACAGCTATTTCTTCATTATTGTGAAGATTGGAGATTTGAGAGAATTAATTCAAAAGGAATAATACATTTAGTAGGTATATGATGAGTTGGCTCAAAGTCAATAAAAGGTAGTCAGTGTAAACCATGAATGTTTGTGTTCTTTCTAATAAAATGAGAGGGCATCCCTAAAAGATTTCCCTTTCAATGGGAAGTGGAGAGGAATGATATTTCAAGTATTTGACTGTAGCTGTGAGGTTAGAATAAAGGGATTTCAGCCAGGATAAAAATTGCTATTCAATTTTTAATGAATTCTGTTTTGATGCAGTCGCTTGACTTCAGTCCACAAAATAACTTGTCATTTAATAACTTGAATAACTTATTCACAGATAATTTTTTTTGGAATATGTTACTGCAAACCTCAGTTATGCATAAGAGTGCATAAATAGTTTTGTCAATTTGACTTTTGGGGCATAGAGGATTTTTTGCATAGCAAACGTACCATGTATAATATTGCCCAAGAAAAACAATATATTGAGCAGTGTTGGTTGTTTGAAAATTGGAAAAAATTGTATGTTATAGTTGTTTTGTTGCATTGTATAAAAGTATGTTCATTTTATTGAAACACTATTTTCTTTAAGAAAATACTTTAGGTTTTAATACATTAGTTATATAATGATAATTTTTTTTTAGGCAGAAGAGGAGAGAGATGACATGGAGAGAGTCAAGCTGGATAATAAGAGAATTCTCTTTAATCTTCTGCCAGCACATGTTGCACAGCACTTTCTTATGTCAAATCCAAGAAATATGGTAAGTAAATCTTATAGATTCTTATGTTATTCCATTATTCCCCACACCAATTAAAGTCCAGTCAAAGTCTTGCTTTTTATACTTAATATGATGAAGTCAGGCAAAATAACAAAAAAGATGACTCATGCCACCTATCAGTGCCAAAATATTAGCACTACTTTTTAGATACAGATATTGTGATTTTCTGAACAGTTTGGTTCATGAGTCAGCCCTGCCATCTAGACTAGAACACTGATGTCCCCAATACATATATCTTGTCCAGATCTAGGGGAACAGGTTCATCTTGAATTACAAAATATCCTCAAATAAGGACGAAATTCTCTTTTAGATACCTGATAATTTACCCAATACAGAAATCCCTAAATGGCACATATTTAATATACAATATTTTCCTGACATCAAGTATTACCTAAATTTTTGTCACTAAGTGAAATGGACTATGCAGAGCTGGATTTGTGAAAAAAGGCCTCTCTACAAGAGGTAGTCCTGTGGAGTGGGGAAATGTATGATCAGAAGGATATTAGCAGATTTAGAAACACGTGTAAATATTTTTTTAATGTATTTTATTGATTATAAAACATGATTATATGCACTGTCATTTTTGGAATAGTTGCTGTGTGCAGCTGTATGTCAGGTCCTGGAGTGACGTTTGGACCCTCTTTATGCATGGCTTCTAGTATAAAAGTTCTAGGGAGGAAAGTTATCTGTTCAAGGAGCACTAAAGATGGTGCTAGTCATGGTACCAGAGTACAGACTGCGCACAAGTGAATGTTTGATTTGCAAGTTGAATATTTTCTAAAAGTAAGATATCTCTTTGTTCAGTTTTATCAACCAGTGAATTCTGCTCTTAAGAAGAGCTATCGCCTGTAAACTGAAAGTTGCTAAGTAAATACAAATACTCAGGTCTGCGACTAAAAAGCTGTTTGATTATTTTCATCTAATTTCCATGTATTTTGGTGTGCTGAAAACAAATAAAAAAAAAACTCCTAGATGTCAGGATTTGCCACAAAATGCAAAATTGTCTTCAAATTTATAAAAAAAATTAGAATTTTTGGTATTTTTTTTATATTATGGGTTTTTAACCAAATTTAAAGTCCAAATTACTATTAATTAATTCACATAAGTGCATTTAAGATATAAAATGCCAAAAAAAACCTTAAAAAGAGGTTGTCCAAGTTATGTAAAAAAAAAAATATAGCACTGTAAGTCTGATGGTCAGCAATATATACATAAGCTAAGCAAGTTTTAGGGAAAAAAAATTCTATTCCCTCATTTCCCTAGTTCTCTTCTGGCCTTTTTGTTATTTGCAGTTAAACAATCTCTGCCCCTCCCCCCCTCCAAAGGGGGTGAATACAAGTGCTGCTCTGAGTGACATGTCTGACTACTGGGATACTCAGCAGCATGCTGTATGTGTAAGCCTCAGCCCTGAGTCTGTGCTTCTAATGGTAGAAGGGGTTAATCTTTCCTGAATAATCTAGTGGGTGGGATACCAAATACCCTTGTTTTCTGTGTCTATGGCACAGTCGAGATCGACAAAATCACTGGACCAAGAAGAGTTGGCAGCCGAGGGTGCTAACAGTCAGTGAAAAAAATGTCCTCCGAGAAACTTTGGTACCTTCCCATAAAGTTCTTCTACTACCTCTCCACATAAAATTGGGATTGATGAAGCAATTTGTAAAATCACTTCCAAGAGATGGAGAATGCTTCAAATACTTGGTCACCAAGTTTCCAGGCCTGTCGGAGGCAAAATTGAAGGAAGGTGTGTTCGTCGGACCAGACATTAGAAGGCTTATAGTTGATGAAGAGTTTGTCAATACCATGATGGATCCTCAAAAAGAAGGGTGGATTGCATTTAAAGAAGTCGTACCGAAAGTTTTAGGCAATAACAAAGATCTTCACTACAAAAAGATTGTCAGACAAATGCTGAAAGCATTTCAAGCTTTAGGTTGCCTGATGAGTTTGCCTTTTCCAGTCCCACCTTGACTACTTTCCTGAAAATTTGGAGAGCTGTGAGTGAGGAACAAGGTGAACGATTCCACCAAGACATTAAAGAGATGGAAAGGAGATACCAGGGAAAATGGAGCATTACAATGATGGCAGACTACTGTTGGAGGCTTCAGAGAGACATTCCAGATGCTACTCACAAGAGTAAATGCACCAAGAGGAGCCTCACAGGGAAGAAGAATCGAGTTTAGTGAGCTCATTTCAGTGTAGGTGAGCTCATTTCCTAGTTCAAAAAAAAATGGAGGCCATTTTCATGAAAAAATTGTAATTTTAAAACTTTAATTTTTATAAGTCTATTTCCATTTTTCCATTTTAGTTGTTATATACTCGCCGTATTGCACACCTTCCACACACCAAATTAAAAGACATAGCTGTATTGTACCAAATTGGTCAGGTGGTTGGCTGTTGGCTGTATACAAAGCCTGATGATGTCCTATGACAAAGTCTGGCCCTTGAATCCATATTATGGTCATCAGTTTATAGGTACCATTATTAATACCAAGCGCACCAAAAATAGGGAGTATTTATCATATGCATAAGAAGGGGATTATGTATAAAAGTATACCCCTGTGTGCATTTATACTGGTTTCACCAAAAGTATTAGTGCCGTTACAGTACTGTCTTGTCACCAAAAATTTTATTTGCAGACCTGTGAAGACAAAAAAAATGGGCCGGTCAGAACATATCTGCATCCAATATAAATTAAATGATGTATGAGGTGGGCGGGCGGGCATCGGAGAAAAACTAAGTATGTCTATCCCAACTGAAGTGCTATAAATCGACCCCCCCACAGGCATGTTTTTCAGGGCAAAAAAGTAATACGCAGGCTTTTTCCCACACTCATAACCAGGCTTTTTAAATGGTAAAGGAGAGAAATATGTGCCAAAGCTATATTTGGAATCCTCTTCTTTCGCTTCGACCAGTCTGGACAATAGAAGTTATTCTAGTTCCTTTAACAAATCTAGCTAGATTTAAAAAATAACATAACTATCATTTTCTGTGAATTAGAGTAAAAGTGGCCATAAACACACAATTTTCAGTTAATTTAAACCACTTTCCATCCTCCAGGAATCATGAATAAAATGCACATGATAGAATATCGTGTCTTTCTTGAAACAGAATAAGCTTCAATTAATATTGCATTGAAGATGGAAGTGCAAAGTTACAACAAAAATAAGCGGCCACTGCTATTATGTAATTTTTGCTAGTACTTCATTTTTAGGAGTTTGTTTTGTAAATCAAATCCCATAAGGCCAATTCTCATAAGAACAGGGTATATAAATCTAGTGGATTTCATTAGAGGGTTATGAGTATTTTATCTAGGTTTTAAAATTAAGCCGAAAGAAGTTTTTTAGAATAAAAATTTGATTTGTGGTTTAGAAATTCAAATACATTATTGGCAGTGCAAGTAAATAACAAATCATTAACAGTAAATGGCTGTTTACAAAGGCTAATTCCATGTTTATGCCTTGGCATCTCACACAGCATTCATTTCTAACAGCTATTTACGAAGTAGCTGAAATACATTATAATTATCTTCACAAGCAAGAAAATGTTACTACAAAAACTTCTAATGTCTAAGATGCTTGAACCACTCAAATCATAATCAGACCTAAATGCGACCATTATCTAATACCATGGGAAAAGGATGACTTATACCATAAATTAATTATTCCATCACTGTCCATACAATAAATAGTAATTACAAATAGCAAGTTCACTTAGAGAATGTTCAGATCATTTGTATGATAGAAACAGAGAGCTTTTTACATGTATAGCATCTCAATATTTTTTATCTATCTATGAAATGATAATCTACAATTTATTATACATACCTAATGAAGACATATTACTTGTTTACCCATTAGCCGCCCAGCCAATGGCCGTTTGGCGGCTTTAAATGTGCTGCTGTATTCCGGGTGCACGCCATTTGGCGTGCTCCCGCACATGCGCAGTTTGCGCTAATGCAGAGCGGCGCAGCAGCGCGATCTGTCACCGGCCGCGTACCTCGGACACGGCCGATGACAGATCTGACTACCAACCCCCGTTGCAGGTACCATGTGACCTGCTGTGACCAATCACAGCAGGTCACATGACAGTTGTATACAATGGATGGCTTCATTCATGCCATCCATTGTATACTAGTGCCTAGCTGTGAATGGTCACAGCTAATCACATGCACATGTCATGTGATTAGCTGTGACCAAATCACAGCTAAGCACAAAAAAAAAAAAAAAAAAAAAGCTGAATGAATCGATTTCATTCAGGTAAATGCTTGCTTATAGCAAAGTAATTCTTTGCTATAAGCAAATTGTGTAAAAAAAAAAAAAAAAAAAATACTGATCACTTCCCCAAAGTATTACAATGTTACTATGGTAACATTGTACTACTTTGGTCATAGTAAAATATGAAAAAAAAAATTTAAAAAAAAATTTAAAAAATTTAAAAAAAAAAAATATATATATATATTTTTTTTTTTTCATACCGTCACCAGTCAGTGTCCCTGTTCACCGCCATGCCAGTTATATGATGACGCTGTACTGCACTGGTGACAGTATGTAAAAAAAAAAATAGTGAAAATAGATTTTTTCATTTTCCGAAAAATTATGACAAAAAAAATACAACTTCAAAAAACTCGCCATGCCTCTTATGAAGTACGTCGGACTGTCTACTCTGCAAAAAGGGTTCATTTGGGGATATCTGTACTATTCTGACATTCTTGGACCTCAAGAAATTAGATTGGCTGCCAGTACTTCAGGATTGATCAATTTTCAGATCTATACCATAGTTTGTGAACTCTATAACTTTCCTACAAACTAAATAATACATCCTAATTTGGGGTATTTTCACCAAAGACATGTAGCAGAATACATCTCGGCCTAAATTTATGAAGAACAATTATTTATTTGTAAACTTTTATAACAGAAACAAAGAAAAACTTGTTTTTTTTTTTTTCAAAATTTTTGGTCTTTTTTTGTTAATTTAGCAAAAAATAA